TCATTCTACCCCTCTCCCATCATTCTACCCCTCTCCCATCTCCACCCCTTCCCATCATTCTACCCCTCTCCCATCTCCACCCCCTCTCCCATCTCCACCCCCTCTCCCATCTCCACCCCCTCTCCCATCTCCACCCCCTCTCCCATCACTCTACCCCTCTCCCATCTCCCCACCTCTCCCATCTCCACCCTCTCTCCCATGCCCCACCCCCCTCCCATGCCCCACTACTCTCCCATCACAACTTCACAATAACACTGGAGCCTGGAGAGGACATTTTACAACTTTTACATTCAAAATTGGTCAATAATTACAATTTCTATACTGCATGCCAAAGCATAACTTTGTAATTATTTGTAATGCAATCTTTCACAATGACAGTCCATAACTACACATTTTATAATTATAAAAACAAAAATTGTAATGGTTATATTTTTTTGTTTTAAAGTCGTGAAAATATTTTTAATTGGCAAACGAGCCGTGAAAATTAGGTGATGGTGTAAGCTGTTAAAGTTTAGGTAATATGTGAGTCGTTAGAATACAGGAAGGTCTCATGCTGTTGATGACCAAATAACAAATAACAAAGCTAAATTCACGTGTCCCGAAAGGTCAATAATGTTAGTGATAGAAATTGAGCCGGTTATCAACCCGTCCTCTCGTCTAATGCGTCGCATTTGGAACGGAATCGACCAACCCGTTACAAATGTGATTTGTGAAAATTCGAACACCGGAATATTAATGTTTTTCAAGGCATCGCCTTCTTCAGGCTAGAGGCGGGTTCCTCTGCGTGTGTTAAGGGTCGTGTTAGGAGCAAGATAATTAACATTACAGCAATAATTTATGCATTACATTTATACATTAGCAATAATTTACATTACAACAATATAAGTTAAAATTGTTAACGAAGTGTATAAATAATATAGTGAACGGGCTTGTGTAATTACGTCTCATTTTACACGAGTTTTACATTTAACGTTACAAATGCATCCTACTTATAACAAGCACACACATATCTACGTTTTCTATACGTGGGACTAGATGGGTTAGGCGGGTTGCTTGGGTTGGTAAGTGTCTTGGTTAGGTCAAGAGGTTGGATTTTGTCCAGAGTCCCGCCTGACCGTCATCCCTCGACACCTTCGGTGACACAGCATACACACTGTCGGAGAGGCCCTGTCCCCACAATAACTGTTACGTGACGCCAGGTCATACCCCAGAGCATGGCACTAACCCCAGAGCATGGCACTAACCCCAGAGCATGGCACTCAGTAACCCTAGAGCATGGCACTAGGTAACCCCACAGCATGGCACTAGGTAACCCCAGAGCATGGCACTAACCCCAGAGCATGGCACTAACCCCAGAGCATGGCACTCAGTAACCCCGGAGTATGGCACTCAGTAACCCCGGAGTATGGCACTCAGTAACCCCGGAGTATGGCACTCAGTAACCCCAGAGTATGGCACTCAGTAACCCCAGAGCATGGTACTCAGTAACCCCAGAGTATGGCACTAACCCCAGAGCATGGCACTCAGTAACCCCAGAGCATGGCACTAAGTAACCCCAGAGCATGGCACTAACCCAGGAGCATGGCACTCAGTAACCCCAGAGCATGGCACTAAGTAACCCCAGAGCATGGCACTAACCCAGGAGCATGGCACTCAGTAACCCCAGAGCATGGCACTCAGTAACCCCAGAGCATGGCACTAAGTAACCCCAGAGCATGGCACTCAGTAACCCCAGAGCATGGCACTAAGTAACCCCAGAGCATGGCACTAAGTAACCCCAGAGCATGGCACTCAGTAACCCCAGAGCATGGCACTAAGTAACCCCAGAGCATGGCACTAAGTAACCCCAGAGCATGGCACTTAAGTAACCCCAGAGCATGGCACTCCATAACCCCAGAGCATGGCACTCAGTAACCCCAGAGTATGGCACTCAGTAACCCCAGACCATGGCACTCAGTAACCCCAGAGTATGGCACTAAGTAACCCCAGAGCATGGCACTAAGTAACCCCAGAGCATGGCACTCAGTAACCCCAGAGCATGGCACTAAGTAACCCCAGAGCATGGCACTGAGTAACCCCAGAGAATGGCACTGAGTAACCCCAAAGCATGGCACTAAGTAACCCCAGAGTATGGCACTAAGTAACCCCAGAGCATGGCACTAAGTAACCCCAGAGCATGGCACTAAGTAACCCCAGAGCATGGCACTAAGTAACCTCAGAGCATGGCACTAAGGACTCTCGAAGCATGGCACTAAGGAACCTCGGAGCATGGCACTAAGGAACCTCGGAGCATGGCACTAAGGACCCTCGGAGCATGGCACTAAGGACCCTCGGAGCATGGCACTAAGGAACCTCGGAGCAAGGCACTAAGGTCCCTCAGAGCAAGGCACTAAGGTCCCTCAGAGCAAGGCACTAGGTTACCCCTTAGAATGGTAACCAAGGTAAGAAAGTGTACACTGAGGAGATCAAAGCTGTCAACGGCATAAGAGGAAGACACTGAACACCGGGCAGGTCAGGTCAGTGTACTGCCTCCAGAGAGCAACTTGCACCCTCCAGCCCTGAGAGAGCCAGCAGTGTTGGTGGGGCGGGCGAGGAGCCTGCTGCATGGCTACCAGCACCCCCTTCAATAGTCGAGTTAGGTGGATTTGGTGGGCAGTAGGTTCGCGGGTCGACACGAGAGGCACCTGTGGTTCTGGTGGTCACTGGGGTGGCGCTGCCAACACTGATTGTCTCTCACAGCCTTTCCCGCTCGCGCCGCCGCCGCCTCCTGCTGCTGCTGCTGCTGCTCCTCCTCCTCCTGCCGCCCGCGCTACTCATGTCCCCCGCCCACCCCTCTGCGCCACCTAGCCTCCTCCACTCCGACCCACCACCGGCCTGTGGCAGGAATCCTCCTTCTCCACTCCGGCCTCTGGCAGGAATCCTCCTCCACTTCGGCCCACCACTGGCCTGTGACAGGAATCCTCCTCCTCCACTCCGGCCTTTGGCAGGAATCCTCCTCCACTCCGGCCTTTGGCAGGAATCCTCCTCCACTCCGGCCCACCACTGGCCTGTGACAGGAATTCTCTACTCCAGCCCCTCACTAGCCCTATAGTAGAGTATACCTGTAGTGGGTTCTGGGAGTTCTTCTACTCCCCAAGACCAGACTGGAACCAGGCTTGAACTGTGACAACTTGTCTAACAGCCTGCTACTTGGAGCGTCGGCCTGCAGGCCCACATACCCCTATAACCAGACTGGTCCAGTTGGTCTTTATCAGCACTCCTCCTCCACTACTGGCCCATAGGCTCAGCTTCCTCTATAAGGCCATATTTCATGGGCTACACTTTCCTGATCAACATTAACACATCACTTCCCGTCTCACTAGGTCTTCGTCGTCCCAAAAACTGTCTACATGGGTGGGGACGAGTGTGAACGAGTATGAAACGTGGGACCAAGTGTGAGAGGTGGAGGCGAGCGTGCAACCCGTTCTCGCACTTTTGTACAGTCAATATTGACTTATTAAATAAGTACATATGTGACATACTAATTTATTGTGAATATTTTAGTTTACCTTGAAAAGCTTCATAGAAAACACCGACCTTACCTAACCTTCTTAGTATGTTAAGATAAGCATCTTATTGCTTTGTAATTACAATTATTACTTAACCTATACCTATAATAGGTTAAGTAATAATTGTAATTAAGAAGCAATAAGATGCTTATCTTAACATACTAAGAAGGTTAGGTGAGGTCGGTGTTTTCTATGAAGCTTTTCAAGGTAAACTAAAATATTCACAATCAATTAATATGTCACATATGCACTTATTAAATAAGCCAATATTGACTATAAGCAAGTGCGAGAACGGGTTGCAGCGTGAGAGGTGGAGGTGAGTGTGAGAGGTGGCGGTGAGTGTGAGAGGTGGAGGTGAGTGTGAGAGGTGGAGGTGAGTGTGAGAGGTGGAGGGAAGAGTGAGAGGTGGAGGTGAGTGTGAGAGGTGGAGGGAAGAGTGAGAGGTGGAGGTGAGTGTGAGAGGAGGAGGTGAGTGTGAGAGATGGAGGCGAGTGTGAGAGGTGGAGGGAAGAGTGAGAGGTGGAGGTGAGTGTGAGAGGTGGAGGGAAGAGTGAGAGGTGGAGGCGAGTGTGAGAGGAGGAGGTGAGTGTGAGAGGTGGAGGCGAGTGTGAGAGGTGGAGAGGAGTGTGAGAGGTGGAGGCGAGTGTGAGAGGTGGAGAGGAGTGTGAGAGGAGGAGGCGAGTGTGAGAGGAGGAGGCGAGTGTAACAACTATGATTCATAACAGCTGTAAATTTAGCCAGCAGCTGTCACATAAATAAGGTGTTAACATCCTGCCTTTTCTATCTATAACAGACAAGTGTATGATTTTATTTTGTTTCAGAGAGATCTCCACACGGTCACTGCACACATCTATACAACCGATTCATACTGTACATCAGTACTCTCTACATTAATCAATATATGACTACTCTTAATCATTCCATGTATCAGTGCTATTACAATCAATCCAAACACCAGGCAGGTACACCCTTCTCTCAATTAATCCAGGTCACTACTCTTGATCATCTATCACTATTCTTTCAGTCATTTCCACTCATCTCAATTTTTGTTTAATTTTAGTACCTGTGTTCACATACATAAAATACGAGTTTACTTGCTTGAAAATGAGTTAATGAATGATATGAGTAAATAATAATGGATTCTATGAAGCTTTCGTTCAGTTCCTCTTTTTACAAATCTCTTTTCAACATTACTGCAGTATTTGTGTTAACTGAAAGATGATATCAAACCAGAATTCGTTCCACAGACATATACTGTACTGGTAATACAATGAGTAGGCAATAACATACATTATTGGTTTTGCTAAGGAAATTATTCGTGCTGTAATGCAGCACTGGTGATTCTCTGTCCTCTTCTGTAAATGTGTGCTTGTGTGTAAATCTCCACCAATAAAGAAAACCTCATCACAAATCAATAATTACAAAATGATAAGGCAAGGATCCTGCACTTACCTTATCGGAGTCTGTATTGGATGAAGAATAAGAGGCCAGAGAGTTACGGTCAGTATTCTCTGCGCTCTCATCTATGGACTCTTCCATGTCCCTGAACACAGAAATAAAACCATGTTAATGAATACAGATATGTTACTAAAAAGTGTGATATGACTACAGCGTAAGATACAAAACTTTGTGATATTGATTACAGTGTAAGATACAAAGCTTAGTGATATGACTACAGTGTAAGATTCAAAGCTTAGTGATATGACTACAGTGTAAGATACAAAGCTTAGTGATATGACTACAGCGTAAGATACAAAGCTTAGTGATATGACTACAGTGTAAGATTCAAAGCTTAGTGATATGACTACAGCATAAGATACAAAGCTTAGTGATATGACTACAGTGTAAGATTCAAAGCTTAGTGATATGACTACAGTGTAAGATACAAAGCTTAGTGATATGACTACAGTGTAAGATACAAAGCTTAGTGATATGACTACAGTGTAAGATACAAAGCTTAGTGATATGACTACAGCATGTGCTCTCAAGATGATCTGACAACATCAAATAACACTAAGCTTAGTAATCTGCTAGAGTATATAATAACTAAGCTGAGTGATCTGCTATTAGCATATCATAATTAAGCTTAGATATCTAAGCTTAGATCACTAAGATCTAAGCTATAATATTCAAAATATTAGAAAATTCACTTTTGCAAACTATGGTAGATGGTTGGAACAAGTTAAGTGAGGTGGTGGTAGAGGACAAAACAATCAGTGGTGTCAAAGCATTATACGACAAAGCGTTCAGTACTGGAAAGATGGACATAGCATACCTCTCATCCTGTAACTACACTTAGGAAATTACATACACACATGGGTCCTTTCTCCTTTTCAGTTTCTATTTCATTTATTATGTTATACTATTACTTATAAACTATAATATAGTTCAAGAAACTGGATATATAGTATAATGCTGAGTAGTTATTTTACCTGCTGACACGGTTCTGCTTGGGAGTTTTAGCTGGGGACTTGGCCATTGAGAAAGGTATTGCAGAGCTCAAATATGTCTCCTGGAGGACCTCTCTAAGCTTTCTCACCCAAGTTTGCTTCACTTCTAAAGTGTTGGCTCGGAGTATCATCTGCAAAACAGAAATTGCCGAACAATATACAAAACAGCAACTGACATATTAACTTAATACCAGTACATAACATGCTCGTACTGATTCTTTTTACCATATTGATTTTTGTATTTTCTTTAATTTTTCAAGAGAAAATGGATGTCATTCTAATAACCCTTAAATGGTTTAAATTACTATCTGTGATTACCTCCTGTGATCAAATTGCCAAATGCAAATTTAACATCAGTTTTGTGACCTATTTTTTGTCATGCACACCACAATATAGGACTTTTAATTAGCTGAGCCATTTAAGGGTTAATAATGTTACAAAACATAGAGTGTGACTCACCTTGCCATCACTAACTCCTGTCCGTGCAGTCCATACCGCAAATTTACATTCATCCCCTTCCATGTGTTCAGTGACACCGAGTTCAGATGTAACAAGACGATTTTTGTATGCATATTTGGTCTTGTTACCACTGGGATCCCGCACTTCTTTACAAAATACCAGGTACAGGTCAAATAAAAATATGTGCCGGTCACGGCCCTTTCTGATTAATTGCCGTGGATCCCACACCTAGATAAAACAAACAAATAATACAAATTTATACTACTGCATCCAATACAAAAATATTTATATAAAATGCTGAAACAGTTGATCCACTTATCATTTCCACCTATGAATACATTCTGAAACAACCTTCATACTAAACACATTCTGTTTCTTAACACATACAAGTGACAACTACCTCAGTGTGTAAGTTTTGACAGATATAAACCAGCATAAAGAATAACTAGGCAGAGGTTTGTAATATCTGACTCTCGCTGCCAATTACAACTACGGTATGAGGTTTAAACATTTGGTTCTCTTAAGTGCCAAATATTGACTGACGATTGATTGATATACAGTACAGTATACATCTTTGGTACCAAACCATTGAGGTCATTGGTACAAAATTCAAATCAATAATGTACAAATGAAACTATAAAATATTAACACCTCAAATTAAACAACAAAGACATTAGGAATAAAATGAAAACAACATACTATAAAGGAAGCATTACCTTGGTAGACATACTGACATGTGCTGCCTTCATCAATTGCTTAAAATAACAAATAAAGCAAATCCTCCAGTGTAATAATCTTTTTAATTCTTAAGGTGTTGAGCAACCTGTCCTCTCACTTAATAAGTCAATTTTTAACGGAATAAACAATCAGTTAAAAATGTGACGCACTAGTAAAAATTCAAGCACTGTAATATTGATGTTTTCTATACATTATTCTTGACAGGTTAGGTGGGTTGTTTTGGTCTGTAGATTTCCAGTCAGGAAAAAAGTTTCATTTTTTATCAGAGTAGCAAATTGAAAGAATTCTAGCAAAACAGTATTTGCCAATTCACATCTTTATGTGATATTTTTCAAAATATTAAACATTGTTATTTTTACTTAAAAAGTTGGTGGAGAGCCTGTAAAGAATGTGTGGTAAATCCCCCAAGAGCCTCTGTTGATAGTAATGATAGTGACACCTAGTGGTGGGTTTGGGTAGCAACACGGTAGCCAACTAGCATTCTGCAGACCAATACTTTGAGTATAGATGCATAAACCTTCCCACATTCATTTTGTATTGTATTAAGAATTGTACAGTGTCCCCTCCCCCCCCCTCCTGAGCCCTGCAGCATCAGAGATGAGAAGGTCGCACTGGACAAGCTGGAATTTGACTATGACTTTGGAAGAGCTCAACATTGCCTATGGAAGCGACCAAGAATTAGCTTAAAAATAATCCAAGCACAATAGCTATGAGGGAGGCCTCTAGAGATGAACCTTGCTTCCTGTAGACGTAGACACAACTCGATAGGCATTTATGGGGCCGGCCGGCCGAGCGGACAGCACGCTGTACACGTGATCCTGTGGTCCCGGGTTCGATCACGGGCGCCGCGAGAAACGATGGGCAGAGTTTCTTTCACCCTATGCCCCTGTTACCTAGCAGTAAATAGGTACCTGGGAGTTAGTCAGCTGTCACGGGCTGCTTCCTGGGGGTGGAGGCCTGGTCGAGGACCGGACCGCAGGGACACTAAAGCCCCGAAATCAACTCAAGATAACCTCAAGATAACTACCAGTTTTTGTATTATATTCTTAACACTATATTACTATCCTGCCATTCACACTCACCCACACCTTATGTCTTTTGGTATTCTATCTTGCCATACCTTCTCACAGCAAACCTATTCGTAACCATATTTACAGCCAGTAGATTTTTTCAATACTCTAATATCTTTATCCATTTGTAAGTTATTCTTTACAAGTTAATACTCTCCCATGTTTATTCTTACTGTACTATATTCATTTACTTTATCATCCATCTTCTCTTTCTTCTTTTCAAAACAGCAGCTTATTTTCAAACTTTTATTTATTTGCCTTCCCGGTTCTTAACTCATATTACCAATATGCAAAAAAATATAGCATGACTTAATGAATAGCAAAATAAAACTGATTTACCTTAACATCCCTCAGTAAATGCACCCCATAATAAAATTAAAAACAAATAACGAGAACTATCTAATGTGGATGTCATATATCAGGAATTCAGAATTCAGCAATTAAGAAAAAGGATTAAAGGAGTAATGAATAATAAAAAGATTAACTATAAAGTTTACGATGATTTGATAAAAAAAGAAAGTGCAGATTAAGAAAACGTAGGTGTAAGGTATATCTTGAGATTATCTCGAGATGATTTCGGGGCTTAGCGTCCCCACAGCCCGGTCCTCAACCAGGCCTCCTTTTTGCTACACACCGCCAGGAAGCAGCCCGTAGCAGCTGTCTAACTCCCATTTACTGCTAGGTAACAGGGTCATCAGGGTAAAAGAATCATTATTCCCATTTGTCTCCGCCTCCACCGAGGATCGACATTGGGTATATGACACTGAGAAAATATAACTGTGTATGCAGACAATAAATCACAATAACATAGATGAAAATGACAACTTCACCCTGATGGTCCACGATGAATGAAGTGTTGTCACTAGTACCTTTATTTTCAGATTTGTGGGTTGGATGTCTACAAGACAGTATGTTGCTGCTAGATATGCAAGACTTCTCAACCATATTAAAATTATATCACCATTCTTAATGAGAACTTCAGTACTAAAAGCAGGAAGTTAAAAAGAGATGATCTAAATTAGGATAGGCAAGTTTACACAAATAATGTGCTGACATTTACAATAACAATTATTTTTAAAACATTAAAACATAATTTATTTAATTACGAATGATTTCACACAATGAAATCACAATTATTGTACCATGACATATCTATGAGAAAATATTGAAGCTGTATGGTGGGATCGAATCCACATTGCTGAACTTCTCAAGACACATGCACTACGAACCTGACCTTGATGGGCTAGTTGGTCATGCATGTGCCTGGGGAGATCAGGGATGGAGGTTCAATTCCATTGTAAGGCTTCAATATTTTCTCAGTAAAACATAAGCTTTCTAACCTGGAAGGTATCTTGAAGAATAACTTCTCCCAAAGAGTCGGGAGGGACATCACAGCCATCGAGCATGGACAAGTGGAGAGCATCATTGGCTTTCTTTGGGACATTCTGCATCACCTCCAACCCATCCTTGATCTCACCCTGATTTTCATCCTCACAACAAGAGAGAAGTTCTTTTAACAACAATTGATATTTGGTAATACGTTGCACTGGCTTGATCAGGTAAGCTGGGATGGGATGTTCAACGTTGTGCTTTCGTTGAACTTCTTCATAGAACGTACCAGAATGACTGACTAGCACACGGTTTGACTCGGGTTGCGCCTTACAGTATTTAACATAAACATCAAATTCTGTCGCCCATGTCACAAAACAATGACCAACATCTTCCGGCATACTTTGATACTTTTCAATCTCTCTGAGGAAAATATCTTTATGGAATTGCAAAATGTCCTCCATGTTACAAAATATAATACCATCTTTGCCTTGCAGCCCAGATGGGGCTGTAGGTTGCCGTGTTTCATGAAGGTAAGTTCTCGTACACACTTCAAGATCTTTAACATAAACTCTTTCAGTCTGAAGTAACTCCCTCATGATGAGTTCTTTTTTTCTAGCGGATTTACGCTTTTCCTCACTAATTTCTTTATTTGCCACTTCTGCCACTGACACCACTGCACCAACTTTATTTTCTAGAGATGGGTCACTATGACGATCTAAAGAAAGGGAAGCTTTACTATCCTCACTTTGAATCCCTAAACGGCTCTCCAATTGCATACGGTACCTATCCATCCTCCCTGAGAAGTTTTTGTAAGCCATATCAACACGTGCTACCCAATCTTTAATAGCAGCAGCATGCGCATGGCCTTTCTCAACCAAGGAATCTGCCAAAAGCAATAATAACTTCACTCGCTCTCTAGTGTCCTTAGCTGTACCCTTGAACTCATTATGTTCTTTTAATAGCTTTTCAGTCTCTTCTTTGGTATCACCCAAATTAGTATGTGTAGAAAGATACATCTCACCAGTTTCCATAATCCAATCTAGAGCTTGTTTGGCAGATCCTTCAAAAAGAACAAACTGCTGACACTGGTCTAGTTTCTTTTTTTTCTGCGTCCAGTGGTCAAGGACCTTATTCTCTTGTGCCATGAGATTCTCTAAAATACCCCTAACTTTGGTTTCTGGTCCTCTGAGCCCCACATCACCCTTCAAATTATAATAGTTTTGAGATCGATTGGAATATTTCAAGAAAGTCTCAGCAGTACGTCTGGCAAGCGTGCATGCTTTTAAAAATCCTTCTTTTTGTTCCTGATGTTTATTAATTAGGAGAGAAATTGAAGCTGCACGATCTGACCCCGTTTGGCTTCCTTGACCAGTCCCTGGCTGCTGTTGTTCTTGTTTCTGTTGTGGTTGTGACTGTTGTTGTTCCCCTTGACTGGATGTAGCACCTGGGGCCGCCACGTCCTTCTGACACCAATCTTCATCTCGCTTATAGTCACGTTCCAAACTTTCCAACACTGAACACACTTGTTCTGCCGTTTTGTAGAATGTTATAGAAGCTTGGACCAATTTGTACCTGAAACATATTTGAAGTGAGAGATCAGGTTCACTTTTGAGATTCAGTAAGAAAGCACCTCCCAATATCGTCAGTACAACTAAAAACTTATTAGGTTTGAATTAATTTTAGGTTGTGGAGAAATTCAATAATTGAAGAATATTCAGAACACATAGCACATACAGTCAATACTATTTAAGGTTAAAAATAAAATCAACATTTCATCCTTTTCAGCACACTTCTCAATTTTTAATAGGAAATGGGTCTACAATCATGAGAAGGGGATTTCAGGTTAGGGAAATTCCTTTTCGTTAATTATGTGTTCATTCATTCATTCATTCATTCATTAACATTTTGACTGGGATATTAGTGTTACTACATAAAAACAAAAAATCATAACTAAATTTTAAGAGCCAGGGGAGACATAACAACATATAGAGTGCTGAGAATAGGTGAGGTGAAAGAGACAATCTATTCCATGAGTGAAAATAGAGGGGGGGGGGGGGGTGGCACAGGTACAATTTGCAACAAAGTTACAAAGTATTGATATGGAGTATGGGTGGTAAGCAGGTGGAATGAACTAGGAGTGAAGACGGCCAGTCACCTTAAATCATAGCTCTAGGATTAAGTACAATAAAACACTACAAAGTTGCAAAGAATAACTGCAAAAGGTACCAAATTAATCAAAAGGCAGTGCCCAAGAGCTGAACCTTGCACCCAAAAAACTAAAATGAATATTATACCTTCAGTATATCTATCATCTTAGTGAATGTAAGTGCCTCAAAATTTATTTTGCAACATGGTAGGAGTTTAATTGTTAAATCTCCAACACATCTTGTATTAGAGAGTATCATTTTTAGGACTGGCCAATAAGCTATTGAAGAAGAATTCTTATATTACATTATCATCAATACAAACAATCTGCACTATTGTTTTTAACAGCAATATCCTCAGTATAAAATATTTAGAAATGGAAAACTCTCTATAGAAGGTAAAAGTAAATCAAAAGACAACTACAACTTTCATGTACATAACTGAGACTGATCACAAGTACAGTACTGTATTTAAGAACTAGCTGGAATATGAAATGCTTTCTTGGAGGATTCTAAAGTTGAGGGACTGGGAGAAAATAAACATATGGATCATTTTATGAGTGCATAAATAATGGTGCATCTTTGTATGTTTTCTATGGAGGATATTTTGTGTAGTTTGCCACTGTCGTGGAGAGGAAACCTGTTAAGCTAAGTCACGTCTTCTTTAGTCTGTGCCTGACCTTGTCCACGACTTAACCCACAACTACTCCTCTTTTAACTATTTACTGCTAGGCAAACAGGTAGGTGCATTAGGTGTAAGGAAACATACCTAACCGTCTCGTCCTGCACGAATATCAAACCCAATACCATTTTGGCAAGCTTGGGAACTTTCCAGATAGTTGTGACACAATGGTATTCTTATTTCTATCATGTATATTTTACCCAAAATTGCTGTGATAATTTAAATCACTGACTTGTCATCTATTAGACTGTTTTGGCTCCTCATAAAAGAGTAAGAGAAGTTTTCCATATTTTTTCAAGTTTTACTTCTTGATCTACTGTTTTAAATAAGCCAGTTATAAAAATTCTAAGCATAATTGTCAGAAGTTCTTCAGGAAGAACTTCTTCAGGAATGAGAAGTTGACTTCTCATTTCTCCAATGAGAAGTCAACATAAATACTTAAATCCCCAGCCTTTGACGGGTATGTATCATTCTTCTAAAGTATTCTTACCTGTCTTCAGCACAAGTGACCAGTTTCTCCCATCTCTTGGTGACATTAGACTCTATCTCCATGACTTGCTCTGGACTATAGTGCTTGCCTACTAACAATGCTGAAGACCGTTGACGAATCTGAACCACAGCTGCATGAGTTTTTTCTATCGCAACCTAAGCAGAGGCAAGATATAGATAACATAAAGGATAAATACAATAATCTGTTGAAATAATTATACATTATTTACAAAGTTGCACAATCACACTGAATGAGTATAACACAGTTCTTTCTGAGCAGGGAACTTGGATGCTCCCCATGGCAAAATCCATCCTGGTCCTACTTCAAAGCATCAAGATAATTTGTCGGTGCCTGGATCGACCCGGGCACCAAAAGGTTGTGTTGTGGGGTCTGACCTCAAGAAAAAATTCAAGAGCCTTGGCCAGCCACCTTCCACCAATTTTAATGGGGTGAGGGGATCACAAGACAAGCCAACTGATTTTAATAGGATAAATAGGGTTGATTGCAGCCTGCACATGTTGGTCACCTACCCTTTACCAATCATCATATAAAGTTGGGTGAGGTTAGCCCCAAGCAACTGGTCTCCATCCTTGAACAGGCAGACCAACACAGAAATTTTCTCTTATAAATATATATAAAAGAGGAACTTTTGGTTTATTTCCTGCCAAAATTATTCTTCTGAACCAGTTTTTTTCAACTGTTTCACAGGTTGAAAACTAAATAATTTACCGTGGACTGTTCACTTCCAAAGTTCTAGTCACCTTGTCTCCACACTTGTGGCAAGGAATGTCTTTTCAAATGGTCTTGCCACATCAATTGGTAGAGGGGAGATAGTGGATAGTAACTCAATCCACCACCTAGAGGCTGCTCGTTATCAGACAAAGTTAAGAAAAAATATCATTCAAGACTTCCCTCTTAATGAATAATGGACTCACAAGATACTCAGTTCTCACTTGGTTAACTTTACTAGTTAGGAACAAGAGTTACGCTGATACCTATGATAACTGATATTGTATTTATGATAAACAGAAACTTACCTGAAACTGTTCATGATCATGTGACAAGGCATTTGATTCTGCAAAAGAACTGGGAATAGTGAAACTTGCTGCTAATACTGCTTCCCCATTCCTGATCCAACTGATTACCTGTAAAGTACGACAAAAATGTTATTAGTTTTCAGTGAACAGAATTACGTAAGTTAGCTATCAGATGTACTGCACAATTTTAAAAACTATCATTGTCTAGGAAATCACAATATAAACAATAATTTAAATTATGATTTTACATTTTCAAGTAATATTTATTAATAATATGAGACAATTATGAAGCAAATACACTGCAACCCAAATTTATTTGTTCCCAGTTTACCAAATTCAAGGGTTAACCAGGAATAAATTTTGTTTTTCAAATCAATTTACAAGATTTAAACCAGTAAATTGATAACTATGCTGACTGCTCTTGGTTAACCAAGTTATCTGTGGGGTGGCAATCACTCATTTGAATCAAATAACACAAAATAAACTAATATACCAGTATTTTGCCCACATAATTAAATATTATTTCTCAAATAATATAACAAATATCATAACTAGTATAAATTAAATCCTGTACTGTACATTCATCCTTTAATATGATCCATTTTATGACATTAAGGTGCACAGTGTTGCGAGTCCCGTGGAGGGAAGCAAACACGTGAGTACACTCTTCCTCTGGCAGGTCACATGCTTTCCTTGCTTTTTAACAATAAGGAGTGCATTCATTCCCCCCAATTATTTTTGTTATGTTTTGAAGTTATTTGAATAATTTTGCCTGGGAAAGATATCTGGTGGGTGTGCTGGTCCATCTGAGGCAGTAAGAGAAAGAGGATGGTTGTAAATATTCAGGAAGAGCTAAGATTCATTGTAAAGTCGGAGTTTGGCGCCAGTGCTGTACATTTGGCTTGTGAGTACACCTCTCATTCATTCTTGGATAGAGAAAAATTATCGAGTGACTACCGAGAATCCAATAACTCAACCCGTTCTCGCAAATTTAATAAGTCAATATTGACTTCTTAGTTGCGTGCATAGGTGACATACTAAACATAATAGTTTCCCTTGAAAAGCTTCATAGAAAACACCGACCTTACCTAACCTACTTAGTATGTTAAAATAAGCATCTTATAGCTTCGTAATTACAATTGTTACTTAACCTATTATAGGTATAGGTTAGGTAATAATTGTAATTACGAAGCAATAAGATGCTTATCTTAACATACTAAGTAGGTTAGGTAAGGTTGGTGTTTTCTATGAAGCTTTTCAAGGGAAACTATTATGTTAAGTATGTCACCTGTGCACATATTTAATAAGTCAATATTGACTTATTAAATTTGCGAGAACGGGTTGAATAACTAGGGGTGCGACCCAGCAGGGGCAACTTTAAGAACACCCCGTGATGCCACTACAGTCTGTCATCCTGCCTGACAGCATGCTCCTGTCCAGTGGGTACATCAGAGCTCACTTTAGGCAGCAAAATGAAATAGCTTAGAAAAATAGAGATATATGGCTCTAGTGAAACAAGATTGCTGGGAAAATCCCCTGACATCTATTAATTTGCAAAACAAGTCATTGCAGATACACTTCTTTGATTTCAAGATAACATGCAAGGCCTCTCCCACAGTGTATTAACAACAAGGCCCAATAACAACAGGGGTCTTCCTAGTATCACCATTCATGGTCTGATATAAGAATGCATTCTTCAGACACTAACCTTACTGAGAATACATGTACTGTATACAAAAAGTCATCTGTACTCACTTGATTTGCTTCATTCTCAAACTGAAGAAGATGAATACACTGCTCTAGTTTGATTCTCTTCATATCTGTTAGAACCTCTATGTCCATCTGTCGTTCATGAATACATTCCAATAACATGGAAACTTTTGCATTTCCATCTGATTCTGCATCAGCACGAATCTGGATTCCTGATGTTTCAAGAAGCTGCAAAGAAAATTTCAGAGATGATAGAAAAATATATATTAGACACTAAATACAAACAAAAATACAATATGCTGCTAGTAGTTTAGGAAATATAATGTATCACAGCCCTTCAATAAATACAATATTTTTCTTCCCACAAGAGTTTGCAATGTAGCATTATGAATTAGATATAAAAGATTACATTTTCCAAAACATTCTGCCTGGGAATATTGTACTTGTACATTTAAATCTTTAAATACCAAAGCCTCAACTACTAAACTCATAATACCTGAAAATAAGTCAAGGAAGTTAACTTTATTCTCACACACATATATAAAACAAAAATTACTGGATGTTGCTAACAGAATATTTCATTTGACAAAATTGTATAGGCATAAAAAGGAATTAAGAACCAGGAAAAACTAAATTAAGTAACAAAGTTACAAATTACCGCATATTATTTTACCGTTAAAAAGATTGCAGTTTTAAGATTGTTACAAAACATGGAATGAGTCTCCACTATAAAGCCAGAGAGAAAATGCTACAATGCTATTACCTTTACACTGCTCCAATCACAATCAGTGATTACCTCCTGTGCTTCAATCACCATGTGCGATTTTTCTTATTTATATTGATATACATATTTTTTCATGCATACCACATAAAATGCATAAAATGTTTTATTTTAATTAGCAGTCATTTAAGGGTTAAAGTGAAGGCATTACATATTTGTCATACACAAATACTAGTATAACTAATTATCAAAGTTTTAAGATCAGACTACTTAAAGCGACTCAATGCTTTGATATTAATCTTAATGACTAAGCACTGTAATTACTTTCATGAGAGCTAAGTCAATAAAACAAATTATATTTTATTTCTAAAGCCTGAAATTAAAAATAAACTTACTTGCAAGAGCTCCTGCCCACTTTGAAGAACCTGATAAGTTGCATTCTGCATGTGAGATGTCGAGTCATTATGTAGCACCAACATCTGTTCCGCTTCAGTAATGTCTCGCCCAAAGTCAGTGTCCTGCAACTTCTCAGCCCAGAGATCCAACTGGCCAAGCAGCTGTAACAAAATACTTTATGTAAATTGAAGGTTTAAGCAAAGAAAACAAAGCTAATATATTTTACCTTTAAGTATTTGCTGAAGAAGTCATTATTTGGATTTTTGCATATATAAAGTAGTTGCCACTTGCATACACTGCCAACCAAGAATGTTACAAGAAATAATACTACCACAGGCACTCAGCACAAAAACTTTAAAAGATCATGTAATTGGAAATAAGTAGTATAAATTGAAAGGGTTCACTTACACACCAAAACAAAATAAACAAACAAGGAAAAGAATCTCACATCTACTGATTCTCTCTGGAAGAGTCTCAGCTGAAGCAGCAGATCCAATCTAAGCTTACGAGTGGCCCAAAGATTCTCCAACTCGTCACGTTTTTTTACTAATCGCTCCAAAGCTTCTTCCACACCCTCTACAGATCCACATCCTGTTTCAGGAGCTACATTGGCAGATCTGAAAAACATTTCTGCTTTAAATAAAGTTTTCTAAACAAAAACAAGTGTCACTCAGAGAATTTAAATGTTATCTAGAGTGTATTAGCCAATGATTCAACCTTCATTCCATTCCATATCTATTAATCAATAGCTTTCCCATATTTACTGTACTCCAACACTCATATTCAGCATTCTTTAACACTAATTATTATCCCTATTATCCCTTGTCAACTCAGCTGTACTCACTACAAACACCACCCAACATCAATTTATGGTACATACATCTTTCTCCCTTTTATACTTTACACATTCTGAAGGTAATGTAACTTACTCTTTGTGTAAAGAAACATCTTTATTAATCTGTTTAACTGCAATCATAACCACCTTTCCTTACAATTTTCCAGTTACAGAGAAGTTACGTATAATTGTACTCCTTTAACACTTTGTGTGGCCAACTTGCGCGGCCCATTGTGCACGGCCCAGCGTGCGCGCCCCAGCCCACCTCTAGGTCGGCCTTGCAATTCCTGTGAGCACACACCCACACTAAAATGTGTATACTCTTTACAGTTTTCTGGCCTCAATTTTCGTCCTACGTCGTTCATTTTGGTATCATATTGTTCACAATAGAATTCTCTTAAAGGATATGTGCACATAAGGTAAAAATAAACAGTGTTCCCCAGAGCAAACCCGAAAATTGGCCAAGCATTACCCATGAGAGTGCAACCACACTAAAATATGTATACACTTTGAAGTTTTTTTACTTCAATTTTTATGCTATGTCATTCATTTTCGTATCAAATTGTTTGCAATAGCATTCTCTAAAGGAATATATGCATATAACGTAAACAAAGCAGGCACGCTATCCACAGCAAACCAGAAAATCTGCCGAGCGTTACCCGTGAGCGAGCACCTATCCGCTCACCCACAACACTCGCACTAAAATGTGTATACTCTTTTCAGTTTTCTCACCTCAATTTTCAAGCTACGTCGTTCATTTTGGTATCAAATTGTTTGCAATTGAAAGGCGTGCATTGCAGAACTAGTTCCATAATAATCGAACAATAAGTGGAATTTTAATAAATATTTAAATTTTGGACACTCAACACCACAGAAGTATTTATAATCTTTCCAGTGTTCTGACCTCAATTGTCGTGCTACATCGTTCATATTGGTATCAAATTGTTCACAATCTAAAGGCGCACTTTTTAAAACTAATCACATAAAAATCGAGCAATAAATTTAATTTTTTAACAAATTTTTTAATTTTAGATGCAACATTCGTCCCCGCCGGACATCCGTAGAGTTATTTATGGACACAATTTCCTTCCCCGCCCACCGAAAGTGTTAAATCAAGAGAATATAATAAGTACAAACAGAGACTATGATGTCCACCAGATATTATAAGGTAAACAACAGCTGTATAAGAAGCAAGGTCTTATTATATGATGACATACCTCAGTTCATTAAGGAGGCCTTCTCCCTCGTGGGTGGTGGAGACGCAAGCATCCAGAGTGGAGTCCCGTTGTGTTGTCATTTGAGCTAAGAGTCTCTCTGCTGCCTCAACTGAATCAGCAGTTTCATCCACCCTCTCCTCAGTTTCTAACTCTGAACTAAGCTCCTCCAACCAGGACAACAGCTGGCAAGATAAAGTTATATTTATTAATTTATTGTTATAACCATCCAACACTGAGATATACATAAACTATGAAGAACTTACAGAAATGCAATGGGCTGTTTAACAACTCATGTTTAAAAAAAAAAAAAAACTTAACAAAATGTTTAACATTCTTGAAGTGCAAAGTCCCATAATAATGTTGTTCATATGATCTCCATAATACAGACACTGCAAAATATCTCACATTCATATAAATCCTTGACCAAAGAAGAAAAACTTTATATATATCAAAAAGATAATTTTTATATTTTGGGGCTCTAACCCTTTTACTATCCTAACATAACACAAAGACTTTGTCTTAGTTCCTTAAATAATTTATTAAATAATGTACATACATTCCTATAGAGATTTCCAGCAACACATTCCAGTTACCCCCAATAACAATAATATGGAATACAGTAGTTCCAAAGCTTTTGTATTTTCCATATTCTTTGATTGTTCTAACATAAATAGTTGTTAGTACTTATATTTCCATTTATTGTAACTTTATTATTATTTTTCAGCCATATGGGCCTCGTAGCCTGGTTGATAGCGCGCAGGACTCGTAATTCTGTGGCGCGGGTTCGATTCCCGCACGAGGCAGAAACAAATGGGCAAAGTTTCTTTCACCCTGAATGCCCCTGTTACCTAGCAGTAAATAGGTACCTGGGAGTTAGTCAGCTGTCACGGGCTGCTTCCTGGGGGTGGAGGCCTGGTCGAGGACCGGGCCGCGGGGACACTAAAGCCCCGAAATCATCTCAAGATAACCTCAAGATATGTAGAAGTGCCTAACACAAGACAAAATTTAACATGCTTTTTCCATTGTTTCTTCGAAGCCTTTTCTCCAATACTATGGCTGTCTTCCACATAATTTAACTTACATTAAACTTGGGATTATTTTCTCCCTTTTATCCCCGAGTTTCATCAAGAGTAATCATAATAAATACAATCGACTTGAGAATGGTCCAGGACGGACCGAAACGTCACCGTCCCTTCATTTTCTGGTGTGTGGGTTGGTCAACATAATCATAATAAAGGCTATCACCATGCACTGTACACTCAGAAGACATGATATCCATACACCTTAAACTCATGTAGAGTAATATACTTATCCTAGTACATTTAAATAGTTGTAAATTAAACAGATATTAAACTTAATACATAAAATAACTCACCTCTTTCTCATGAGTATAAAATAATACGGCAATATTGAGCAGTCGATGTCGTTGCTGCACTCTGGTTGCAAAGCTTGCAATATGCGAGTCCAACCTTTGAGCAACATTATAGATCTCCTCTGGATTGCATTCCCCAGTATGAGCAAGCTCCTCAGCTGCTTGTAATAATTTTTCTGCATTGGTATACGTGTTCTGAAAGAGCACATATGACAAATAACAATTATAATTATACTGTAATTACAATCTAAATTTATACACTATAGCACTTTGAAAAGCAATTTAATACCATATTATTACCAAGTCCAAATACAGTACAATTATCTATACATGTAACAACTACTGCCTATATTAGGTAGTAAACTAATATACAGTAACAGCATGCAATAAATAGTTAAATATGATAGAAAATAGGGCATTTATATAAATTAAATGATTCTTTCTAAGACAGTCCCACAGTTGCTCCCTTAGCCTGCCTATGCACATTCTGCTTGCCAGACTTTAATGATCTGTTCTCCCACCACGACCAGTAATATTACAAATAGTCTCATCATATAGCTGGGAAGGAAAACGGTATAAAATCTAACTCAAGTTACTGGGAGTCCTTCTTACTATCATTCAAAATAGCAGACATTACAGTCAACAAACCCTCTCCAAACAAAAACTGATAATAAATAACATTCATTATTGCTCTGATAACTACCAGTTGAGCAATTAAGTCACTTTTCCAATCACCCCACCACATCATCATCAGAGGAGCTAGCATCAACATACAGACTATGTTCCTCACCACTGGAAGCACTATCATGGAGACAAAAGGTGCCAGTGCTGACACAAGGTGGTAGATTGCCTACTCAATAGTTAGTAGACCAATAATTGGGATCATCTGATTTAAACTCTCATTTGGAGTGGAACTGTCAGGTCTAATGTTTGGGCTTTTGTATGATTGTGAGTTGTATCTCATTGATAGCTTCAGTTATGTATACCAATGTCTCCCTTCACCACCTAAGTGAAGAAAACGTTAAGAGCCTGGAAGGAGGAATGTGTCCGTGGACCGTTATTAGCTACAGGTTAAGGGAGCAATTAAGAGGTCTTTGCTTGGAAATTGAAGTTTTCAGATGGTATTTTAATAGTAAACAAATTATCATCTTGCCAAGCAAGACAATAACGGGTCCGTCTAATTACCACAAGCTACCACAAGCTACACAAGCTTCAGAAAGCTTCCTGGCAATACGTTAGTAATGAATAAATATGATATGTTAGGTTAGGCTGACCTAACCTAACCTAACCTAACCTATCCTAACCTAACCTAACCTAACCTAACCTAACTTAACCAAACCAAACCAAACCAAACCTAACCTAACCTAACCTAACCTAACCTAACCGAAGCTTGGATCATCGACTTGATTTGGCGTCACCAGCTTTTTATTTTCGTCTAATTTCTTTATAAAAAGATACTTTTTCAGATTAAAATTATGTTTTCTCGGGTTGTACATTCAGCACCAACATTATAATGAGTAAATATATCATATTTATTCATTACTAACGTATTGCCAGGAAGCTTTCTGAAGCTTGTGTAGCTTGTGGTAATTAGACGGACCGACAATAACTAACACACACATGGCTATGCAGGGTCAAATCCATATTTTTTATCTGTAGACAGCTTCTGCAGCTCTTGTAATACAACAGAATGCACAAACCATGAAAGTAAATTTATAAAATATATGCATGACAAACTATATTACCCAAAGTTTAAGAGTACAATACACAATAGCTAATATCATAATATTGTACCTAAAGTGTAGCAGCATGTAACTGGTGAAGTACAAGTTATAGCCCCGCTCCTATGCCAGGTAAGTACACTACGGGCTCACCATAACCCATACTACTTGGAACTTTTTGTTCCTAGAAGCTGAATCTTAAACAACATGGTGAAGTAATACCATACCTGAGCCACATTTTCAAAATGTTCATGACTCTTCTGATACATCCGAGCTTTAGAAAGATTGCGGCCTATGCCCGGGTTTTTATGAAGAAAGACTTCACCATGTGTCTGCAGCCAGTCAAGAACCTGACAAAAATTAATCATTTAGATTATACAGTACTGTGATTCACATAAAATTTCAGAATACAGTATAATAAATGAATATCTTGAAAATAAGGGCATTATTTTGCTTTCCATTTTCCCCTCTTTAACCCATCCCATCAGTACTCAAGATGAGCTCCAACACTGTACAATGTATAATGAATATGGCACAGTATCTTCTTTCGGAAATAAGTGTCACCTGTTTCACATCTTCCTGAAATAGACGAAGTGCCAATCTTTGGTGCAACTTGAGCTTCTTATCTGACCATCTCTGTTCAACTGCCCTGTGGTGACCTAAAATTTCATGAATAACAGCCAGGACATGACTAGCACCCTCAGAGTAGTCAGCTGCGGGGTTACCACTTGTCCCTGGACCCCGCTGCTGCGGGTGTGGCCCACCACGATACACAACCTTGCCATCTGGAGTCACCTACGGACAATAATTTAAGAGATTAATACCAAAATAAACGCTTTAACTCTAGATTGAGTATATATTTATTAGCCACATGTAAATAAATTGTATGAGAAAACAGCAGGACTAAAAAGATTGATTCAGAATATTAATACAGAAGTGGTAAAGAAATATGATTGGAAGTAGATGAGATATTAAGAATGGAAGTTAAAAAAATTTGGAAAATATTCTCAAGTTAGGAGGATTTATCAAGAAAGTGTTTTGAGCCACATAAGAAATATGCCCCAGCGACAGAAAGTTATTTTAGGTATCATGTAGAGAAACGACAAATTAAGAACAGATTTGATTGAAATCACTTTTTGCCTGAAATGGCTACAAAATATGTACAAGAAACACACAAGTTCTACTAGTGCTTATATAAAAAAAAAAGACAGGTGAGAGTGAGGCAAGGTCAGAAAGGCTAGGAATTTGGGTAATGAAGCTCTATACTTGTATCAAGCAGCTATCTATGCATCTGAGTGAGGCTTTGGTAATACATGTCCTTACATTAGATTGTTATGAGGAGTGCTGAGCAAGTGAGTTGTCATTTAATGCACAGGCTGAGTATTTTCATTCTTGAACATAATGCACCTGTCTCAATTTCTATGCTGTGTTTATCTTGCTCTTTGTATGTGTTTGTTCACACACCATTCTGGTGGCTTTTTTCTTGGTTAGGGTGATCTAGGATTCTCTGCTCTTTGTGGCTGTATAAGGGAAGTCAGGTTTTGTCCTGACCTTGCTAGTCCCTGGTCCATGGTAGGCTTACAGTGATACATGGATTGAACTGGGTGGAGCTTGTCAGGTAGCAAGCATCTCAGAAGTTCTCCCAGAAAACTACTTTTGTAACATTATGCTAATAGGTGAATGGAGCCGACCGTCACAGAAACAATGAGGGACGAAGTACAGAACATGTCTGCTAAGAGGTGAGATGAGGTACATGTAAGGTGATGTGAAGTGAACTGCAGAGTTGATGCGAGAAGTGTTGGAGAAACAACGTGAGAAGCAGTTTGTCTACTAAGAGCTGCAATTACATATTTATGTTTTATGGTATGCACTAACAGCAGTTCAGTATAGTATTTGAAAAAATTCTTATTCTATATATGAAGAAAACAAATTTTGTAAACAGAAAGATAACCTTAAGAATAAATTTACTAAAGATACCAAAAAGATACAAATCAGAGAAATGGTGACCATATAGCAAAAACTAAAGTTTAAAAGTTCCAAAAGCTGAATGTATAGAAATGCAACATACATATTTGTATATTTACCATGAAGCAACACTTCATATCAAATTGCAACTGCAAAACCCACTGCTCTTGCAATACTAGAAACTTTATGATACCAATACGAAATAATGAACTAAAATTCTTTTCTGATTCCAATTTTTGTGAGCGTAAATTTTAGCCTAGCAAAAAAAATATAAACAAACTATTAATCTATTTTGAATCTATAAGCCTTAAAATAAGTTACCAAAATCTCCAGATATAGATTGTGTTGCAAAGTAGCACGAAAAGCTTCAAAGCAGTGATTAGACCCCATGCAAAATAATAACAAACAAACTTACAGAGTAGGCAGATGGCTTTCCTCGTGGCTTCTTCTTCATTTTGAAAAAAAAAGAAAAGGAAAATAAAAAAGCATGAGCAAAAGTAGTATGCCTGAAAATCAAATCTCCTCTCCTTATGAAGAAACCATATTGAAAAATAACGAAAAATGCTGAAAAATAACACTGCAATTACCTAAAATACGTATATTGTACCGAAGCAAAGGCAAGGCTTACTTACATGAAAGCAGTAATACAGTATCTCTAAAAAATATAAAATTCAAATTCTCATGCAAGCTTGAACATATTAAAACATTCTATATTTGTCAAAATGTAGTGTCCAGTCAAATATATTTGGTACAGTAGCTGCAATTCAGCAAGAAAATTCCATAATGCATAGTCAAAATGAAGTTAAAACACTTACATGTTTAATATCAATCATCATATTAATCATTCCTAATTCACCTTTAACAAATTAAAGCAATCATTGCAAACATATTAGCATGACAAAAGTATAATATCCATTTCCCACAGTACAACTCTACTGATTTACAAGTACAGTACTATAAATGTTGTACTGTACAAGTACACATACTGGCAAGTCAAAGGAGACAGAATTTACTATGAGTGAAAAGGGGAAATTTTATGCATCAGAAACCTACATATTTGGTATGTAATTTATAGACAATTCTTTGTACGTGAAATATGTAAGACAACCAAATTTATGTTTTAAATGTTGTGGTGGATCACAACTAAGTTTCTATTCAATGAATCTACCACAACTGTCCACAGTAAGTTTTATCAGCTCGAGTATTAGGAGTGATGCTCAATGTTGTACAAACTATGGCTGTCTATACTATACCAAGAAACTGTAAATGCTACAATTCAGCAACATTAAATTTATACCTGTTTTTTATCATTTTCTCGATGGTTAGAGGTCATTAAATACAATATATTTAATCCAACACCAGTCATCCACCGAGAAATATTATCAAAGATTGAGTGACTCAGTAGTGTGGTTTTATTATTTTTTGTGGTTACCGAGCGTTGGTTCTGAGGATCAACGTCCCAAAAGCCTGGTCTCTGATCAGGCCTAGTGTTTTGCTACAGTACATGAAAGTTAGCCTATGCTTTACTTGTAACTTTCCAAACACAATATAATGGCTACTTAAAGCTTCATAAAAATCATACAAAAAATCACCAATCTTACCAACTGGGCTCCAATAGTCTAAAAATCGCTCAAGAAAACTCCAGTTAAAGCACTTATTTTAATCATAGTATCCTGTCATACATCAGTTGTGAGTGTAAAATAATTCTGCATGTTGGCTTTCTAAAAGTTTTTGCTTAAGAACATTATTGTTTTTATTGTAAGAACATCCATACCGGGAAAGCTGACCACCTGCTATCTCTAATGTGAACTGTATGTGATTTAATAGTGGTCAAGACAACCAAATGCAGTTATTTTTCAGTTCGTTACTAGAGAAAGTTATAATTAGCCTACATAAGACTCATTCCAATTTGATGCTACATTACATGTTATGCTAATACGGTATAAGTCTTGCTGCTCTAACTGCTAGATGGAAGCTTTTTATGACTGTACACCTGTTCACTCCAGCCACAACTCTAATAATTTGTATAACTCACATTTCAATGAAATCAAATGCTTTATCAATCAATTTCTAAATCACCCAATCAATCAATCAAGCAAACACTCAATAAATCATTCACTCCATTAATTCAATACAACACTTGAGTAAAGTGTTGCTAACCTACACAAGGTGTTTGTATTTCAGAATGACTACAGTCATCTCCATATATTTGTTCATTCAATCTGAAATCTATCTGAATGCTATTTTTGTACACGACTCACCAAACGTTTAAAAACTGTAAATGTAAATCCTCTATGTGTATATACTAATTACAATTTCAAATGCTGAAAAATCCCCTTTCACACTCATATAAAAAGGTGTATTTAATTGTACCTTTACCAGAGAAACTGAGTCATTTCATTTTATGGGTAACATGCCTAAGTCCCTCAAACACCCCCATGCAGGATAACAGCCCAACTGCTTACGTGCTTGCTGCGCATCTGGCCATCACGCCGCAGTTGACTACATATTTGTACCAGATGATCCAACTGGTAGAGAAGCTTCTTACTGGTACTGTGAACCTGCAACCATCACCAGCCACCACCATTAAATTAACATGGTATCACTTGTACCCTTAAACAGATGAAATACCGTACCCACATTTCATGCCAGGTACATCCAGAGAAAAAGTACTAGTTTGGCACAATACAGTATTATCATTATTCCAAATGAAGTTGCACATATTATTTGATAACTTAAGTGACATCTGCAATAATGCATATTACAAAGAGATACTATATTGCCCATTCTCTTAAAATTACTGAAACTTGTAATACAGTCCAATGTAGTACTGTATTCATAAAATTAAAACAAAAAAACATTCATTAAAAATATATCCCACAAGTCTTCCTGTTTCACTGTAAAACTAATTACATATGAATGCAATTTAGTTCCTGTCAATTAAGAATTTAAAACAAAAACAGGTTTGAGGATCTTAACCATACTGTACTATGCATTTTCTGGATATACAATTAATGAACAAATGGGTAAGCATACAAAGAATATTTATCTTTTTTTTTATAATTCTGTAGTCTCCCTTCACCTGTTATGTTACAAATCCAAGAGGCCAGTGAGACAAAATAAAAAGTGTGTTCTGGGTGATAGTATTTGTAGCCCGAGTTAGTTTAACACAGTACCGCCACCATCTTCAAATTCCGAGCACCCAAAATTCATGCTGGCATTACTCTTAAGAGGTACAAAACTTTGTAAGTCATTACTAAACCAGAAAAATATATACCTGTATCAAGCTTTGAATGACTATGAAAAGCTCCATTATGAGCAATACACTCAGATGTTCCTTAAAGGTAAATTGCAGATGTCCCACTGGACAGGATCATAAGTGTCAGGGAAGGGTGACATTCTGTAGTTGCAAAACAGGCATCTTTTGAAATATCTGTGTTGGGTCATATATACTGATGGTAGTGGGTCATTGGAGAAAAACTAAAATGCCACAGAATCAACGAACTGGACTTGAAATGAAATTGAGGAAGCAACAAAGAGAGCAACAAGATACACAACCAGACTGATTCCTCTAACAAAGCCTGCAGCTTTGTGGCCTGCAGCTGGTGACACCTCCTCAGCAATCAGGGAAAGAGGAGCCAGCCACCGAGTCCTGCAACAGAGTAAAACCCTGCCGTAGCAACTACCAACTAACATTGGCTCACAATATTGTAGTACAATACACAGTATGTTATTTCTAACATTTCACATGTGACAATTGAGGAAAGTGAAAAACTATGATGGATGGTCATAGATAAGCCACCTTATGACACAGGAGGGACAGAGAACACAACATTCAAACATTCTTCTGCTTGCACCTGCATGAGCAAGAACTGTATTAAGACCCAAGCAAGTACAGAGGTTAGAAAATATGAATGCTTACTGATGAAAGTATTAGTAAAGATCAAGAAAGTCACTCTGATTCATCAATCATCAGCATCTGAAGGATAAAATCCATGTATAAAAACGAGGGATTTACCAATACCTTCTCAGAAGCCTCAGAACCAAGTCCTTCAGCACTTACACAATATTTAAGCTCATACATTAAGTCTAAAGCCTGCAAGCCATGGAATAAGCAGCTTACCAAGTTGACAGTTCAAACAAGGTCAAAACCCTCAGATGTCAAATGAACACACTTGAGGATGGTACCAACCTGACACAGGTAATGTTGAAGGCAGAAGGCAGAGCAAAATAATGCATACTGAACCCTACCTGGATACATCAAACACAGTGGCCTGACCATCCCATGACTAATGCACCTGTGACCAGCACTGGATAACAAACAATTAGTTGCAAAGAGTAACAGTTTATCAGATTCTCAGCCCAGCCACATCAGACGAAGGGGAGAGTTGGGAGCCAAAGCAAGACTTACTGAGTGATCTAACTGAACCATAATTCTAAGGCAAGGAAAGGTGAGAATAGCCAGTGACAACAAATATAGCCACAAAGAAATCCACCACGAGCAGACCTGAAGGGAAATAAACAACTCGGCCACATGTGGAGCTAACCGAGTCCGTGTATCAAAATGCCCAGTCTTGGAGCAAAGCATCACTGAATGTAAATGTAGTGAGATCTTTAAGAACAACCTACTGCTGAAGCACAAACCCAAACTGGAACAACGAAGAAGATTCTGAGGTACTATTCTTTTAGATCATGAGACAGGTAAATGGCTTATAAGCATACATGTAAGAAGTGTGTCATACATATACGTACAGACTGAACAAGTACACAGCATCAGCTGCAAAGTGAAACTTAGGTGTCTAAGGATGAAAATATTCCACTTAATTGAAGCCAATACTGAGCCAACCCAACCATCATGAAGATGAGTCAGGAAGAATGTGTTGGGGCTCAAGGCTAGGGCCTAAAATTGGCCCATATGGACGGGGGGTTGCAGCCAGGTGGAAAACTGGCAGTTTATGAGAGCACTACTTGCTTATTAAGGTCAAAACAATAGCTTACTAATCAACCAGCAAGAATACTTTAGACCTGAAAATAGTCCAAGAATAACATAGTCTCTCACTGTATATACAGTACATCAAGAAGATGGGGTACACTTGTCGGTGAATATATGTCCATGAATGTGCTACTTGGTGGTCCTTGTGATAAGTAAGGCTTGGAAAGGCTTTAAGTATTAACGAGTGAACTTTCTGTAGTTATTCAGGGTTATGGTTCAAGTTATGGGGAGCCGGTCAACCGAGTGGACAGCACGCTGGACTTGTGATCCTGTGGTCCTGGGTTCGATCACAGGTGCCGGCGAGAAAAAATGGGCAGAGTTTCTTTCACCCTATGTCCCTGTTACCTAGCAGTAAAATAGGTACCTGGGTGTTAGTCAGCTGTCACGGACTGCTTCCTGGGGGGGGAGGCCTGGTCGAGGACCGGGCCGCGGGCACACTAAAAAGCCCCGAAATCATCTCAAGATAACCTCTCAAGGGTAGGATTGAGGTTTTATCCAATGTTTCTCTCTAACACCATTATGACCCATCATAGATGTTTGAAAAGATCCCCGTTGTGTCAGGAGCAGAATGTCACTCTACCCTGATGATCACATTCCTATTCAATGAGACCTTCAGCAATCTTGACTTAAGGGTCACCCGAGTGATGTAGCTCAGAAAATACCTGTTAGGGTATTAATATTTATTGACTCCCATGATGGGAAAATAGTTATAATGCAGCTCCTTATATATCAGCAGCATGAGGATTGTGGTCACCATCATAACTCTCCAAAATTCTTAGGTAAGTAACTAAATATTAGAGTGTCTACTAATTTAAGGAACATGAAAGCAGATAATTCTTGAATCAAACAAAAATAAGTGAAAACAAAAGAATTCATCATAAAAATACTGTGCATTGATTTCTTTAATTTTATAAGCTTCATAGAGTTAACTGCTTTCTCCCCCTTGTGAAGAGTAATAAGGCCTTTACAAATTTCCTTCCCATTCATGCTGAAAATATGCACAAAATGATGATGTTTTCCTACTGGGAACAGTTCAGCTGATTCATGAACATTTCGGACAAGAGAGCCGAGACCGTTTAGTAACGTCTGGTAAGCACTATATAACTGAAAGTGAAAGTTTAGGTCAGGCATACTATTGATTAGTAACTATGTTTTCACATATTATGGATAACAACAAATATTAATATACTCCATCATAAAAATAGCATATGCCATATACATGATATATATATATTAGATACAGCTGGTTAGGAAGGCCCCTATGATTTTGGTTAATTTGTTCAGACACATCACAAGTACTGTACAGTGAATCCTCGGGTTGGGCAGGCTCCAATAAATCAAAATTCAAATAAAATGATTTGCATTATTATTATTATTTCAACAACAAAAAAATGAGGTATAGTTCAGGTGGCATGAACTCAGGTGTAATGGTGGTCTGAGAAGTGTTTACCTGAAGTTTACCTGGAGTTTACCTGGAGTTGATACTGAGAGTTCTAGTACTTCCCAAACAAGTCCTAGGGCTGGTGGCTTTATGGTTTTATTAAATACAGTATATACCTTTATTAAAGTGGCTTTATTAAATATGCACCTTTATGTAACAAATAAGCAACAACTTTATTAGGATATTCTTCTGACGACACGAAAGTGAGGTTTGAAAATAGGTTCAGAGGAAGACGTAGAAAAATTACAATCTAATATTAACGCCTTCTAATGGGCAACGAAAAATATATATGTGCCCTTCACACATATTGAGGGTTCACTGTACAATATTCACACATTCATGCAAGCATATACATAATTCATTCGTGTAAGCATATGTATTGCGAATACATAATCCTATTACATTTTTTTAGAACAGTCTGATGACAAAATTATAAACAGGTAACTACGTATGTGTTCATTAAGCCATGTACACGCGATGCTCCATAAAGTAATACTGTACCACAACCCACAATTATATAAATGGAATGTCGTGAAAAGGTAAAGCATTAATACCCGAAGATGGTTCAAGTAGAAGATAAATAAAGGTGTAAATTTACACACTGGAATATGAAACAACCTCATTTGTTTACAACTGTGACTTCTAGAGAGACAAATGTGTTTGGACTGTGAACCACATCAGCTCTCCCTGTATATGATGTGTTTAACACACATCTATAATTTACACTGGTTCACTTTATAATTAGAGGGCAAACTGTTTCAACTGGATAATGACCTATAATGTTGTCACTTAAAATTTAAAGAAGGAATTACATTGTGATCTAATCAAGTCCAATATATAGTAAGGATTTTTTTCCATTTTTTTTTTTTCCATTCTTATCACATCTAGATAAAAACATTTGAACATATTTCTCATATGAGGATGATTCATTTCTATAATGCCACAGCTTGAGGCTCAAAGAATACCTTAGGAAAAGAATATTCATACAGAAGAAGTATGAAAGAAGAGACGACTACAAGAAAATAAATCAGGACTGAAATCACGCATGTTACCGAAGGAACAATGTGACGAAGAAAATGCAGCCGAGCACCAAGTAATGTTGTAAGACAAATGCGAAGAACATGATCAGTAAAAAAATGGGTCCTTTTCTCTTTCTACAGGTTATAGTTCCTAAGGTCTGTAAGCTAAATAGATTCATATCAATAATAACCACTTACTCTGGGACTAAACTGACAATTAATAAGGACATTATTATAAAGTATTCAATAAGAAGAGAATATAGTCATACAATAAAAATATCAGGGAAGTAAATGCAACTAAGGTTTACCTTATATAACTAAGATTTAAACACTAAAATACTCTACCACAAAAATCTGAATAATTCAAGAATGCATGAATTAAGTAGAATACTGTATTATCATATTTAAGCAATTATCTACATAAATTCTTATGCTTAATATAATAATACAATACAGCACTTGAAATCATTACTATGTTTATATCAGCCAACCCTCCTAAAATGAAACAATTTTAGTAACAATTTAGTCAAAAGAACTAATATGAAGTAATAGAAAAACAAAAATTTAATTTTTGTATTGCTGAATTTGGACAAATTGGAAATGTTTTTTAACTGCAACATAAATATAAGACCTGACCTAACCTAACCTTTCCTAGCAATCCTAGGTCTAATACATACTTTCTTTGGCCTAATATAGTACATGTATGTACTATTTAATAGTACAAAAAGTGGTTTACTGGCAGTCCCTACACATTTGGTATTTGTGACCAAATAGTTACTTTAAGTATTATCATTTCAAGAGGATGGGTTGGCTTAAATTTTACAAGGATTTATAGGCATGGGAAAGCAATTATCACCAGTAGACTTTGAGCCCATGATCATGCAGTCATGTGACACTGTCTAACTTTGTGTGGTATTATAGTTATGGATTCAAAGCCTGCTCAGTCTCGGTGCTAGTAATGGCTTTTACAAACAATGTGCCTAATCAACGAAGATTACATACTTGAGATGTGATCGCTTTTCAAATACATCACTTTACCATAATATTTTCATGAATTTTCAACAAACTTATTATACTGCCTACCTCAGTGTATGCTTGGCACATAGTCTCATACAGTGACTGATGGAGATGGATGGAGGACTCCAGGGCTATGATATCCGAGGGTAAGGCTGTCACTTTACAACTCTCCACCCAAGTAGGAACACTCTCAATATACTGAAAACAAAATTACAAAATAGCTTAGGCATTATGCATGGAAAGTATTATTAAGCAAAATAACTGGCACAAATGTGAAAACTTGTCACAGCAAAAGCAAAGAGAAATGACCTGGATGACAGCCATTTATATTAAGAATGAGATGTATCAGAGAATGTTACGAAGCCAGTGGAAAAAACTGTGATGTATACCAATCTTTCGTATATGGATCTCAGAGACCATGGCAGGTTGAAGTTTTGTTTCAAAAACAGAGTGAACAAAAACGAACCAAAAGAAGGTACAAAAAATATTAAAGTGGAAGCCACAATTCCGTATAACATTTATGAACTTACACAAGAGATATAATAGTCAATTCTGAATGCAAATAGAAGTTTATTCACATTTATTGTACAATAATTTTACCTGCTCTGCTTTTTGATGAAACATGACTGACAGAGCCAATACTGAAGACCTTTCATCTAAACCAGCGGCAAATTCTTTCCAAACCTGAAAATAATCATACAAAATTAACTTTGCAGACTTATTTTTGCATAACTATACTAATTAAAGAGTTAAAATTTTCATGCACACATACTGGTACTTCATGAATGAGAGTTAGATATTTTCTGAACAATACAAATCAGTTGCTCGATGAGGTAAGATCTCACTGTTCCCATGGACAAATACACAAGGGTGTACTTCATCTACAGATCAAGCTTAGGGTGTAAGCTTATTAGTTATAATTAATCAAGCTATATTTAGCTTAAGGTTGTAATTAATCAAGCTATATATAGCTTAAGGTTGTAATTAATCAAGCTATATATAGCTTAAGGTTGTAATTAATCTACAGAGCTAAGATTATACTTGATTGCGGAGGTATGACAAAAGATATACTGTACTTGAACTACTGAACATCCTACATGGTAAAAGAGTATCTGTAATGCAGGTGTAATAAAGTCTTACCTGGTCTAATTTGGCCGCTACATTTCCAATATGTTGAGCTGCATAGTGACCACTTTCCATGAGTCTGGACGCTACACTAAGTATTCTATTGATATTCATATACACTTTCTGTTGGGAAAAAACGATGAGAAAATAATGTTTCATGTGTTACATTTAAATATCACTACATTAAAATCTTATAAACTGGTATTAGAGATGCCCATTTTTATATCTGCAAAATGAATATGAAAATATATGTTCTTTAGCCAAGAGAACAAAAAAAAATAATATAAAAAGTTTATATGTACTCTATAAGTATGATATGAACAGCTTTGCTAACAAGAAACTAAATTCAGACTGAGAAGTTCTAATCAAAATGATGTTTACAAATATTTAAGTTCTAGCTAGATTGAGCAAGCAAACAACTACAACAAATTATGATTGTGGCAAAATAGTAAATAACATACAGTAGTGTACAATACAGTAGCTCAAAATTAGAATAATGAGTGTGACAGTGATTCAAAATAAAAAGTGAATTAAAAGAACTTGTTTAGAAGAGAATCGCAAATATATAGAGAATTATGTCAGAGATATACTAAATAAAGTTATGGTTTGTCACAGTTGGGGGAAAGAAGCCTGTTGGACTTATCCAGGTCCCCACAAGGCCAATTACTGACCTTCCCCCACGATGAAACCCCACAACATTCATCTAACTCCTGTTTACTTATTCAATGCTAAGTGAATAGAGGCAGTAAAAAGGTAAAGGTAAAAGGTAATTGTTAAATGAAATGTTGCCCAAATGCTTCTGTCCTACTACAGGAATTTACATACATCATTCTTATTTCAGGAATTAGGCCTAGCTTGGATCAAATTCACCTAAACATGCAATGCCTTTAATATGGATTAAACTTCTGAACTATTATTCAGACAAAATGAACCATATCGTAACCTTTTTACACACATACTGTACTGCTTCACTATATCCAGCATGGTCAAAATCTGACATTTTCCAACCCACACAATACAGTAATAATTGCTGTAACTAATGCTTTCAAGTGGATGAATGAAAGTGGATGAGGTCCTTCTTATCAAATGCATTCTTGCATTCAAAATAGTGGTAACTTACCTAAATGAAATGATACTGTATGAAAACACTAAGTAGGCTGAATTATAATAAGTAAAATAACAGCATATAAAATAATTAAGATACCAGAATAATAAGTAAAATCACAGCATATAAAATAATTAACATACCTGACACGCAACAGTGAACTGGGAATGAGCCTCTTGAAGATCTTTGGATATTTGGTAAGAATGACCTATTTCTACGTAATTGACTAGGAACTCTTCACGGTTATGGTACACCCAATCAAACATCTGGAATTTTAAAAACAAATACTGTATCATAAATCAGCTCTAGTACAAACCAAGTAGTAAAATCAAGAGCACATAATAAATATTCTACGTATATACATATTACAGAACTTTATAAATGCATTGCATTGTATACATTTTTTGTAATTGAATGCACAGATTTCTCTAACTTTACTGTACACAATCAAAGGATACCTGTTCAACCGTGCTGTAATTTATACTTAAAACTGTGAGCAACAGCACCTTACAGCCTAGTTGACCAGACAGCCAACCAGGAGGCCTGGTCAGAGACCGGGCCACCAGACTATTAATCCCCAGAACCAGATCACGGTAGCAACAGGCCAAGAATATTCCCTTACTTAATTTCAATTTGTTTATGCTATATAAATAAGAGGACTTACCTTCTCTACATCTTGTTCAAAGAGTCTGAGCTGGAAGCACTGATCAAGTCTCATTTTTTTATGTTGCCATAGTTGCTGGACGTGCTGCTGTGCTTGGTGTACAGAATCCATTAAACTTAAAATCTGTATTGGAAAAGCAAAGACTATAATCAGGCCTATTCACATGAAAATGATAAAAGAAATGTAACGACATTTAAATGTTTAATTTATAACTGCACTATTCAAGAATAAATCTAATTTTAGTTTCATACAAATGAGTAACCTGCCTCATCACTGCAATGATAATGATCAATCAGATATATAGTACAGTACTGTACCAGGTATACAGTATTTGTCCACTGACAATGGCAGGAAAATCCATAATTGTACAGTAGTCATGAAAATAAATACATTACACAGCACAGTACTAAAAATTTTAACTTTTCAAAATTACTGCACTAAATAATAAAGACTATTTTATCTAACCTAAAGTAATGCAAACAAAATATTAACAGAACGAACATTTTACTTTAAATATTAAAAGTTAATAGATACTTGTATACACAAGTAATGGCTTCATATAATTTATACAACAAGTTTTAAACCTAAGTACCGTAAAGACATTGATCAGCAAGGAGAGCTCAGCAGCTAAATCATGACTATTTTTGGTGACAATTTTGCCAACTGTTGCTCTTCACTACAAAGGCTTCCTATCAGATACCATTTGTGAAATACACATGAACACAATATTTCCAAACTCAAAAGATCAATTTTCCCACTTTTAATCTATACTACAGCTTCCCAGTTCTTTTATATTTTTCTCAATATGCTTTACATATAAAATATTAGAACTTCATTTATAAAATTAGATATAAATAATGAAACAAATGATGCCTATCTGTAAATAAAACAACTATACTCTACTAAATGTCAGTTCCACAAATCTTGACATGCTGTATCACAGCAAATGGTAGTATTACAAAATTTCAGTATAACCATTGCTGAAGAGAAAAGATAACTTGCATACTAATATGTACAGTATATATATATATAGTATGTACAGGTGTACCAATACTTTTTGATCACTTTTAGTTTCCTATTTGTCTCTTTGGTATATGATTTGTAATTGAATATACTTCATTATCTATTGGGAACATATTGCAAAAACCCCAAATACCCTAAAATGAGCCAAAGAATGAAAATAGAACAGAAAAAACATAATCTCCTAGCAACTGCACGTTACGATATAACCCTTAGAAAATTTTGTCATATGCTATAGTTAAAGTTATCAACAATGATGACAAAACCACACATCAGAAAGTGAAGAAACAACGATGTTTTGGTCCATCCTGGACCATTTGCAAGTTGTGTAATACAAAGAATGGAAGAACAATAAAAAAACAATTTAGCTGCAACATTTTATGGACCTACTCAATGATATTCAAAATTTTCTATACCAACTTAAGTCTGGTTCCAAACTTGTACAGCAATAATTATTAATGAGAGTGTGAAGCACTGTTCAATGTGCAAAATAAGACTAATTAACATTAGAAAGTACAAACCATACATTAACAGATGATTCAAGGCTGTGTAATAACCTTTTTTTTTCAAATATAAGTGGAATTACCAACAGACTTTAAACTTATAAGAGAACTTGACATGCTCCTCCAAATCATTATCATAGCTGAGCTAGAGTGCATACATTGGATCATGAGCACTAAGCACCAACAACCTGGCTGATCATGTCATCAGCCAAGAAGCCTCACTATAGAATGACTGCAGGGGTAGTGATTTTCTGAGCCACGTCAGAATAGACACTGACCTCTTGTTCACTTCATTTTGTTGTTGTCACTGTACATAATTATCAAAAGAAGGTGCCAGTATTAGTGGCTTGTTGATTACAATTTTGCATAGGAAGTGATATACAGTACAGTAATAAACTCTGAATTATTTTCAATTTCACTATGACGTTTTTACTCTTGTATCTTGTAGGCAGAAACCTTAAGTAAGGAAAGTTTAAATGTCAGAACACTCTCACTACGTATTCTATATATGTTTTGGTCCATCTGTTTTTGTTTTTGTCCTTAGTTCATAAGGACATGGCAAGGTTTAGCTGAAAGGAGCAATTTCTAATTTATTTAATTATAAAGATATTATCTGTTTCCCCCCAAATAAAACTCTCATGTCTGTTTCTTAAATCAACTATGTATTAAACACAATAAATTAAAAGTTTCATAAACAAATGTGAAGCCCAGAATGACACACTAGTGAATGCCTTTAAATCCTACTTATTTGAAAATCCCCAAGTATCTCAGTACCTTACTTTCCTTTACCAACTTCTCCAAAAGGCCAATCACAAAAGGTATTCAATACCTTTTGCCTGTATGCTGTATCTTAACTCCTGCATGCAGGTATCTTAAATACCTGTATGCTGTATCTTAACTTTCCTCCTTAACCTCTACATTACATACTGCACTCTCTTATCTTCCTCTCGCAAAATGGAAGCTTTCCCATTTCTCTAATTCATTATACTGTAGTTCAACTTTATGCATTTGTTCATCATAATTTTGTATGATGTGTCTATTAAACATGGCCTGGTGTAGTCTTCTAACTTGCACTCTAATCTTTAACTACCATGAACCTTATTAAATACTGGTTCAGTAACAGGGTTGTTGATTTGTGGAACCAATTACCGCGTAACGTGCTGGAGGTGGGGTCCCTCGATTGTTTCAAGCGCGGGTTGGACAAGTATATGAGTGGGATTGGGTGGTTATAAATAGGAGCTGCCTCGTATGGGCCAATAGGCCTTCTGCAGTTGCCTTTGTTCTTATGTTCTTCTTATGTTCTTATTATTACCTACAGCATTCACAGTTATCTTTCTCTTGTAACATGTCAATACAGTGCAGAGTTTGTTTATCACTTCTGGCAATTCCTCCTCATTATCTACTCTGGCATCTACATAAAAAATTACATTTTGTACCTAAGAATATTCCACTGCATAATGTTTCAAATATAATGCATTTTATATAACTATAAATGATTCTTATAATTATATAAACAAGCCTTTTCTTTCAACTACAATTACCAATTACATGTCCTTCAAGGGTTCAATCCCCATATTTTCTCACATACATACATACATACATACATACATACATACATACATACATACATACATACATACATACATACATACATACATATATACATATATACATATATATATATATATATATATATATATATATATATATATATATATATATATATATTATATTGTAACAAAGTTCAAATAAAGTAAATATATATGTGTATATATATATTTATATATATATATATATATATATATATATATATATATATATATATATATATATATCTATCATGTTCTTGAGATTTCATTGTGTAACTGTCCTCACTCCCCCATTTTAACTAAGATAAAATCCTGCTATGGAATTGCAAGTTATTTAACTGCATAAACTGCATGACATTAAAAGTAATTTACTGTATATGTTTAAAAAGTTGTCAGCTACGCTATGTACATTAGCTTTATGGAAGTTATGAACAGCTTATGGATAAATTTAAACAATTCCCAGCTGTTGGGCATTTCTGATAAGAGACCAAGTTATTAACATTAAATACAACACTACTGCTATATTTATTAGCTGCAACCAAATAATAATATTTACTGCCAAATATCTGCTGTATCACCAAGCATGGCAATCCTCATTCTATTGCACAGTGCACAGGGGGACTAGATCCTGACACGTTCTCTATGTATACTGTACTCAGCAGAGTTATCTATGGCTATCTAATAATACAGTACATGATAATTACGACGACCAATCTACGCATCAGAAAGTGAAGAAATGACAACATTTTGGTTCGTCCTGGACCATTATCAAGTTGTAATAGTCCAGGACGGACTAAAACGCTGTCGTTTCTTCACTTTCTGATGTGCGGTTTGATCATCACATCTTCAGCCACGTTATTGTGACTCATCGTCTACATGATAGTTACTTTATGATTTAAAGTTTAAAGAATGACGAAACTATAACACCATTACAACTATCGACCTCCCGGGAGACGAGTCTGATGCCCTGGGACACGGGGTGGTAGGAAAACCAGCTGTACGTGCATGATAGATAAAATAAGTAGACATTGATCACAACAAAACTGAACACAAATCATTGAGTTTAGAATGAAGGGTACTATTTATTAGGCCATGCTAATGACGTAAGACACTTACTTTCATTGGGGGATTACCTGACAATTCTACAATTCTACATATATGATAATCACTTCAACTCCAATGTAAATAGCCTACTTCCTGGGATTCTGTAATATAGCAAAGAATGGAACTGCATTCACATGTTACATATGCAAGTTCATTCACAGGTAAAGGTGAAGCATTTATTCAGTCTAAATATGACGTGTTCAGCAATTTTTCAACACAGTAATCTCATTACTATTAACTCATTACATCACTATTTTATGTTGCTCACTGGCTTATGCAGCTAACTCAATGATTCCTGGGAGGTTACAATGAAAAAGGCACAATGTGTTTACCTGCGGAATACTGTTTTGAAAATCCGGGTTATTTAATATAAGACTTGAAGCACTATCACGGCCTGAATACCCGGAATCATAGCCACTCCCTTCATCACAGTTTAATCTGTAAAATAATAATAATAATAATAATAATAATAATAATGTAATGCTGTATAGAATTATTAAAATTTCATGTGCAGTTTTCACATCAAGCTTGAATGCGATTCTTTGGATATTTCACATTCTATAACCACATACCTATCATTATTACACTGCTCCAATTCCTGTCGTTCTAGCAACATGTACAATATTTATCACCATGGAATAATATATTATGTATAGAATTAAATAGTTTTGCCTTTGTAGCCAAGTCCATTTCCTCCTTTAATTTCACATAGATTCATTCCAAATATGAATGATTTCCTATAATTTCAATCATCATGCCTACAGCTTGTAATACCTATACAGATTTCTACACTTACTGTTTTGCAACAAAACAGAATAGATTATGATATAATCATGATAATCATTATATTGTTCTCTGTAAGCATATTAATAATTGCTTTAGCAATGTACATATTCCCCAAAAGAATGATTTAATACCTGTATATCAAAATTACTCAGTCCCTAACTGTCCTTTGTTTATAGAACTTTTTGTTTAACTAGAGTATTATTGTATCGAACCACACAGTACATTACTCACTTAGATGTCCAGGGAAGAGACAACTGCGCAATAATATCTAACACCATATTTACAAACTAACCTGTGCAATAATCTCTGACCCATCATATCCAGGTCATGAATTAAATTGCCGGTAACTTTTTGGTGCATTTCTTTGTGGCGTTCAATAGCTCGTTTAGCACCATTGACATCATCAGCAAAGTCACTTTGCTGAAGTTCATCCCTGACATCTTCCAACTGATCCAAGAGTTCATTGGCCTGCCACGTAAAATCCTCCACTGCTAATCGTAGCTCAATCCAAGTGTTGTGATCATACGGTAGAGTTCCATCGAAGTCGACTGTTAATTGGTTAGGATCTATGGTCTTGGCTAGAGTTTCTACACTTATTAAATTAGTCTGAAAAACAAAGCAAACAAGTTACTGTAATCTCCTTACATTCAACATCTCTTTAGTACATTAAAATAAACATAATTACAGTATAAAAAGAAGTCTACATAATCAGTCCACATTAATTATTGCACAGTGGAGCCTCTATAATTCACATTAATGGATCATGTCTTGTTAAAATATAAAGATCTTCAGATTTTCAAGGCTTTTGCCATTTCTTGCTACTGCATTTATTGCCAAATTTTTGGGGTAGGTTCAGTCACACTTTCTCATTCCAATACCAACACTTTTAAGTACTATACTGCACTCTTCAAATAAAACCAGCCAAAAGTTTGTTTACAAAATAGGCTCACTGTGATTTCCACACCTCAAAACTATATAATGGCTAAGATTTTCTATAAAATTTTGTGGGATCCCAATTAAATTAATATTTGAAGAAATATCATTCCATATCCATTTAGTAGCCTCCAAAATAACACTATTTAGTAATGCCTCCAAAATATATCTGATCAACCAGGCTGTGATTCATACATCAGGCTGCAAGCAGCCGTGTCCAACAGCCTCGTTGACCACACGACCACCAAGGCCTGGTCGGAAACTGGGCCGTGGGGGCTTTTGATCCCTGGAACCTCCTCAAGGTAGCACAAGGTAGTACAGTACAGTATAGCAGTTATGGCACATCTACTCAACAAAACTTGCTATTTTCAAATGGAAACCAACTATGTGATTCCTTGCTTTTTAAATAGAGCACTATAATTTCATTGGCAATCCAATGACCCAAATTTTGTACTGGCCAGTTTAAACTGAAAACACACTAATGAAAACTCATTATATGACCCTTTCCAAAACAACACTGACTTTTGTAAATATTTGAACAATACTCACAAAAAAAATGTCAGGTAAAAAACTATCCGGATACTTGGGATATAACAAAATCATTAAAGATTTTGAAGAGTTCCGGATTATCACATTCTGGATTATCAAGATTACACTGTACATTATAAACGAGTATATTTAAATAATAACATAAGAATAAAGGACACTGCAAAAGACCTATTGGCCAATATGAGGCAGCTCATATTTATTTATTTTTGATCTATATCTACTGTATGTCCAGATGTCTTTTTTTTTTTTTTAGCAATGCACTTACCTCAAACTTGTACTTATGACTGCCTATACTGGTGCGTTGCTTTTGCCAAAAATTGTCTGGCTTGACTATGAATACAGAATAAATGTGTGGGGTAAAGCTCTCAGCCAGTTCCTTCAAGATGGGTTTGACAGTGTTCCATGTTGACCCTCGCATGTCTATTATTACTGTGAAGCCTGCTTCTCGAACTTCGTCGCTGTAAAGAAAAATGGGGCGAGATCAGCTCGTTTTTTATTTTTTTTAACTACGTAATGGCTAAGAGAAACAAATATTTAGTGCAAGATATCCACACACTACAGTACTAGCAAAATTGCTCAATTCTAGGAAGACTAAATCTGATTATTGAGCACTGTACACTGCAGTAGTAGTCATTCTCACCAGAAAGGACACTAAAAATAAATACAGATTAAAATAATTGGATACCTCTGAACTGTTTTGAAGAAATATGGAAAAGGAATTTAAATATTAAATACCAATTCATTAATGCAGACAATATAAGGTATTTTTACACCTACTATATTGATACTAAGACCTACATTTAATGGCATACAGTATATGTATAATACATATTTTTGTTATTTTCATACAGGCTTTATAGCAACAAATTACCTGACGAGAACAGTTAATGAATGCCACTTACCTTGGAATCTGCATGAGGTACTGCAGCAGGGGATGATAGTCATCATGCTTGAGACGATCCCTGCGAGAGCTGGCTGGGAAGGTAAGAATAGGACCTGGCCGCTGGTCCCGTCCTCCAGACAGAAAGGCCACCTTCTCGTGCAAGATGGTCATGACATCTACAGCCCGCAGACCATCCATTCGCTTTGGAACTGGAATAAAAATAATGATTTAGTATTTTAGCCAGATTAGTGGTAAATAATAGCTAATACACATATCCACAAACTGTTGAGCAAGGTGATGTTGCCATGTGGTTTTCCCTACATCTTTACTGGAGTTCATGTTTAACAAATTTGCTATCTTTTTATTCCAGCATAGTTGAGGCAGTTGATAGTGCCAAGGATTGTGATGTTGTGTACCTTGACTTTAGCAAAGCTTTTGATACAGTGCCACATGAAAGACTGATTACAAAGATAGAGGCTCATGGTATTGGGGGTGCTATATTAAGTTGGATTAGGGCATGACTATACCAAAGAAAACAGGGAGTTTGTATAAATGTGGTTAAGTCAGAGTGGGAAAATGTTGTAAGTGGAGTGCCTCAAGGCTCTGTCCTGGGACCTCTGTTGTTTATAATATATATAAATGATTTAGATTCAGGTTTGAGTAGCAACATTTGCAAATTTGCCGATGATACAAAAATAGGTAGGGAAATTAATACGGAAGAAGACTCATTATCACTTCAAGTTGATCTAAATAGGGTTTTGAAATGGTCAAAGGATTGGCAGATGCAGTTTAATGCTGATAAATGTAAAGTTCTGAGGCTAGGTAATGATGATAGAGTTACAAGATAAGAGCTATATGGTGTTGAGATTGCGAAAGGGATCTGGGAGTTATGATTAGTAAGAATTTAAAACAAAAGGATCAATGCATGAATGTTCGTAATAAGGCAAATAGGACACTGGGATTTATTAATCGAAGCGTTAGTAACAAGACACCTGGTGTGGTTCTTCAGCTATATCTAGCTTTGGTTAGGCCCTATTTAGATTATGCAGTTCAGTTTTAGTCGCCGTACTATAGAATGGATATAAATTCACTTGAACGTGTCCAGCGTAGGATGACTAATTCCCCAAATTAGAAACCTTTCATATGAAGAATGATTAACAAAGCTTAAGTTGCATTCATTGGAAAGGCGAAGAGTTAGGGGTGACATGATAGAGGTTTACAAGTGGATGAATGGCCATAACAAAGGGGATATTAATAGGATATTAAAAGTATCAACACAAGACAGAACACGAAACAAAGGGTATAAATTGGATAAGTTTAGATTTAGGAAAGACTTGGGTAAATACTGGTTCAGTAACAGGGTTGTTGATTTGTGGCACTAATTGCCGCGTAACGTGGTGGAGGTGGGATCCCTCGATTGTTTCAAGCGTGGGTTGAACATGTATATGAGTGGGATTGGGTGGTTATAAATAGGAGCTGCCTCGTATGGGCCAATAGGCCTTCTGCAATTGCCTTTGTTCTTATATTATTATCAATAAAAAAAATCGACTTTCATAACAAACTTCTTGAGCTACAAAGACACATTTTGGGCCGAGCTTCATCAGGGGACTAACCAGAGAACTAGGCCAACACCCCATAACGTGCTCTTCCCAGTAGCTGAATATAAAACAACACCCTAAAGACGGTAATTGGTCTCTGCCTCTGCGTATTTTCTAATTTGCAAATTTCCTGGCGAAAAAGTCATGAGTTATGTTTATCTTATTTTTGCAGTTATATAGACCAATCATGTGAGCACATTTCCATAGATATGTTTTATTTACGTTGAACAATAAATGAAGAATGTTGAAATATTCATAAACATTCATCATTTTTTCATCATGCATAGTCTATCATCAGTGTGGAACGTTTAGTATCGGGCACGTGGTACGGACGTTAGTCTTACCATTAATTTTGATTGTGAAAATATAGTTTTGGATACACTATAAATTAAAAACTTTGTAAGTTAAAACTGACTTACGGTGAGAGCCAAGACCCTCTTTCGACCCTTAGTTATTTCATCTAAACAAGTGATCCCTAAATCCCTTACGCATCATAAGTTACACGTAGCAGATTCTTGGGTTATCTTGTGATGATTTCGGGGCTTTAGTGTCCCCGCGGCCCGGTCCTCGACCAGACCTCCACCCCCAGGAAGCAGCCCGTGACAGCTGACTAACACCCAGGTACCTATTTTACTGCTAGGTAACAGGGGCATAGGGTGAAGAAACTATTGAATTGATTCAACCAATAACCATGATTCAGTTGAGTCAGATTCAGAATGATTCGGCGATTCAGTCTTCTCAGCGTGGTGCCTTCTTTTGATAATTACTTACCGAACGTACATTGATACTTGATGATATGTAGATGACACTGTTTTGTTATTTAAGGACCAATGTCATATTGAGAAATTTAGAGAGTATCTTAATGCACAACATAGTAATATAAGTTTCACTGCAGAGTGTGAAGTGGATAATTCATTGTCGTTTCTTGATGTCGCTATGTACATGTCGTTGTACACACAAAAGCCACGACATGTGATGTCTTGTTAATCACTCAAAGGGCTACGAGTCACTGATCTCTCGAAAAGATGAATGACTTATAAATGTAACGTCGAAGCATCTGCTTGTCTCGAAGTATCAAAAGTCAATGAGATAAATGACTGAATCACATCTCCGATACGAATCAGGCTTCTTAATCAACTTCAATATGTGAGGAAATTTAATTGCATAAGTTTGTGGATAATGGATGGGCAAGTCTGCTGGGTGTGTGAATGTTCATGTGTGTATGAGGTAGGGAAGTGTCGGGGGTTAAATAACCCCATTGTTCAATCTATCCTATTGAATAATAATGGCATTTTCATATATACCTGCTTGATGGGGTTCTGGGAGTTCTACTCCCCGAGCCCCGGCCCGAGGCCAGGCTTGAAATCCCCCAAACGCCAAAGAAATGATTAACTCAAATCTAAAAATTATAGAGGCTCGCAAAATTGACGTGATGTCCCGTTTTCTATCCGTGGGTCCACGGTTAGGTTCGGTCAATTTGGTACATCAGTTTAGTGATGTTGTGATCGTTGGAGAGGACGGGTTGTACAAGCAACCAAGGGCATCACCTCACATGACAGAGGTTATCTTCAGGTTATCTTGAGATGACTTCGGGGCTTAGCGTCCCCGCGGCCCGGTCCTCGACCAGGTCTCCTTTTTGTTACACCCACCCTTCCCCAAGAAGCAGCCCGTAGCAGCTGTGTAACTCCCAGGTACCTATTTACTGCTAGGAAACAGGGGCATCAGGGGTGAATTTTTTTTTGCCCATTTGTCTCCGCCTCCACCAGGGATCGAACCCGGAACCTCAGAGCTACGAATCCGAATCGCTGTCCACCCAGCTGTCAGGCGCCCAAATTCATCAAGGAAACAATTACGATAGACATTAAAGGTGCGAGATGAGGAGATTTAAAGAAGCACGAGACTGCGTATGTGTTAAAGTAGAAGATGTGTAGAGACTTAAAGCAGAGAGGCCGACAGCGAATTAAAGGACATAGAAGAAACTAAAATACATAATCATAAATAAAGATGAACAATAGTCGAGAAGAAATAAATAAAAAGACACGAAAGATAGCTTAATTAAGAGATGCAGAAAGGAAAAAAAAAAGACCAAATAGCTCAACAAACCTACAATATTAATTTGGGAAAAACTTTTAGTGTTAACTTTTGGTAAAATGCAAAATAACTTGAAGGACGTAAACTATTACGAGAGAATAATAAAACTACTGATTAACGTAAGGAACAGATAAGGGCAAGACATGGTGGAAAATGAACGAGAGAAAAGAAAGATAATAAAGAAAGGAAGTAAGAATAGATAATAAAGAAAGGAAGTAAGAATAGATAATAAAGAAAGGAAGTAAGAATAGATAATAAAGAAAGGAAGTAAGAATAGATAATAAAGAAAGGAAGCAAGAATAGATAATAAAGAAAGGAAGTAAGAATAGATAATAAAGAAAGGAAGTAAGAATGAATAATAACTGAATAGGAAAATGACCAATAAACTGAAAGAACCACCAACAACATTTAAATCAAATTAAACAAAACGACGAAACTGAATAAAGAAGATGAACAAATAAGAATTAAAATAAACTCGAACAACACAGGCTAAAATTAAAAAAAAATTAAAACATGAAAAACACAAGAAAACTTATTCTGAAATATTAAAAAAAACACTTCAAAACGGGCCACTATGAAAGGGGGCCAAAACACTTCAAAACGGGCCACTATGAAAGGGGGCCAAAACACTTCAAAACGGGCCACTATGAAAGGGGGCCAATTTTTTAAGGTTCGACCCTGCTCCCGGACGCAGGTTCGAATCCTCCTCACGGCCCTTGTGGATTTGTTCATTTGTTCTTCATAATAATATTACATCAAGAGGTTGTTAATGGGCAGTTGTGGGTGTGGTTGTGTAGCCTAGGCAAAGAGTCGCTACTTGGAACAAAATGTTCCAAGTAGCACGGGCTAAGGCGAGCCCGTATAGTAGGTTGACCAGACCACACACTAGAAATTGAAGGGACGACGACGTTTCGGTCCGTCCTGGACCATTCTCAAGTCGATTGTCCACAATCGACTGGACCATTCTCAGTCGATTGTTCACAATCGACTTGAGAATGGTCCAGGACGGACCGAAACGTCGTCGTCCCTTCAATTTCTAGTGTGTGGTCTGGTCAACATACTTCAGCCACGTTATTGCGACTCATCGCCCGTATAGTAGACTTGGTTTGTTGCCGATAACACAAGGCTAGCGATGAATTCTTGCCTCGGGGATAATTAGCCTATCAGTTGCTATTTGCATGTTTCTCTTGGCTTGTTTGGGTTAGGATGGTTAACGTTACAATATTTATGAGGCGGGTCTTTTTTTATATCAAAGAATACAGATCACTCTGCAGACACGAGACTATCAAAACCCAGCAGACACGAGACAATACCCCCAGCAGACACGAGACAATACCCCCAGCAGACACGAGACAATACCCCCAGCAGACACGAGACAATACACCCAGCAGACAACAGGACAATACACCCAGCAGACACTATACACCCAGCAGAGACAATACCCCCAGCAGACACGAGACAATACCCCCAGCAGACACGAGACAATACCCCCAGCAGACACGAGACAATACCCCCAGCAG